GACACTTGGTCTTCTTATAAAGTAATTTTATTCATATTATTTCTTTAATGATAACTGTTAATATTTTGTAATAATCCTTCTAGATAGAATGTTGTTTCTTTGATGATGACTATATTATTATAAGTCTATGTTTGCTTCCACATTTATACTATTTCTGCATAAAAGAAAGCACAGAAATACAATCATTTATTAGTGTTTGTTTCTAATTCTATTTATTTGCATCGATTTGGAGAGAAAATTTATTAAATACACATCCATTTAGTTTCTTTTTCTTTGAGATGAAATGATTAGAAATTACAAACCTTATGCTTGAACATTTTCATTTCATTCTCACAGTTCTATTGTGTGTGATTTTTTTTTCCACATCTATTGAATAACCAATTAATTATTTCACCATAATCCATTAATTATGGTACTTACATATAATTGATGTTTAAATACATATATCTTATTTATTATTAAAAAAATTATAAATTTATTTAACTGTATATTCCTCTTTTCTATATATATATATATATATATATATATATATATATATATATATATATATATATATATATATATATATATATATATATATACATACATACATATATATAACATCTAATTTAAACTAACTTCATTTTAATTTATATTTTATTATACATAAAATTTATTTAACTTTCAATTAAAAAATATTTATTATCAATTTAGATAACAAATTTCATTTAAATATTTTTTATTTGTTTAATAAAATCATAACATAAAATATTTTAATATAAAAAATAGTTTTATTTTTATTTATTTTTATCCATTTTAAAATAATTATTTTATTTTAAATTATATTTTAATTTTAATTTATACTTATTCCTATTAAAACTTATAATAAGAATAATTTAATCATTTATTAATTTATTTAATTATCTTTTTTTTAAACAATCAAAACAATTTTATCACTTGTAATATTCATACTCATCATCTCTTCTTACTTTCCACTCTTTTTCTTTAATTCAAATATCCTCACCTTCTATTCTATTTTTCTTCTTTTCTACTCCCTCAAATTCATCATTCAATTCAAATACAAGTTAAGAGTGAATGAAGTTTTGAATTGAAGAAACAATTAATTGTTCAGTATAAATATTTAATAATTTCTTCACCACTTTTCAAAACTATGTATATATTCACAAATTTTATCAATGAAAGTGATAATTTTGGTATAGTAATAATAATAATAATATATTATAAACCTTCAACAATGACATATAAAATGATGGATTATTGACAAAATAGAGTCATTGGCAGTTAATTTTTTTAATGTCATATGTGTATATTGAGATTGAGTAGAGATGATTAAACATGTTAGATCCAGTTCATCTTAAAAATGGTAGGGTGAGTTGGTAGTTTTAATCCATCAACACATTTTGACCTGTTTTACTCGAGTCTTTCAACTCGATCGGACAAGGTAGACTAATCGCTAGCCCGCTTTAAATAAATATTTATATATTAAAATTAAAACAAAAAGAATTATAATTAAAAATATTAAAGTTTTTGTGTTATGTTATTAAAATATATAAATATACCATAATATTATAATTTAAAATTTAAATTATTAATTATAATTAGTTATTTTAACAAATAAACATATTAACTTTTCAAATTATCTAATAAAATATTAATTAATAAATAAAAACTTAAAAATTATTGATATAATTAAAAATATATTTTAAAACAATACATTTAAAAGAGTTATATAAAAAAATATTGGTGGGTTGGTTAGGATATGTAGTTCCTCCATATTATGGTCGGCCAACCCACCTCACCCAATGTTTGGTGTACTAGAGGCGAGACAGACAAAAACGAAATGAGATAATCCCTTTAGTCATTTCTAAGATTTAGAGTCAAACATCTTCATCGTATGAAAAAGATCATAAATATATTTAGATTAAAATAAATAAAGTTTTTCATTTGATACATGAGCAAACTCAATGTTTAAAAAAGAATGAAGAGATTCAAAGTCTTTTAAACTAGGTCGTTGTTTGCATCTATGGATGTATTGTGGTCGAGGAAATGAGGGAGGAGATTTGAGGGAGGATGTAGCTATTTGCGCACATTTAAGAGGAAATGAAAGGGGAAAGTTTCAACATATTCACTCTCTCTTATGTGAAGAAATGCATAAATTGTCATTACCCTTTCTTTTTATGTGATGGTTGTGCAGAGGTGCACATGCACCGTATAAAATCTCTGCTCTGTAACAAAGTGACACAGACCAAAGACCATATACAATTACACAGTCAAATTGGTCATTGCAGTTTGCAACGTGAGACTGTACTACACCAATCGCATTGAATAAAGTGGTGTTGCACTATTGAGAAGTTAAATATCATATCATGAGTAAAGGTTTCTTCATCAGTAAATACACTCATTCCCGTAAGTGAAGGTTGCAGTTTCCTTCTTCCTCCATTCCCATCACCCATCTCCAGTTTTGACAAATTCTTTCATCCAAGTGAAAGAAGGATCAAACAAGAGTAGTTATAGTTGTTGTTTCAGTTGCATTTGTTGTTCTTCCAGCTGTTTTTGAAGTTATAATTGTTGTTACAGCTAAAGGAAGGAAAGTTACCGCCAAACCTCCCACCGCATCTTCAACAAGATTAAAAGTCCAAGTAAGTAAGTTCAGTCATGACTTTGTTAAAGTATATGATATTTGTTGATGGTTAAATAGTTGGTTGCTCATTGATTTATATTGCGTAGATATAACACATGAATATCCTGTATGTACATTGGTTAAGAGAATTAGAGGATCATATTTGATTATGTATTATATAATCTAATATTATAGGGTAATTGATTATGCTTACCCATCATCGAATATTAGGTGTTGCATAATCGAATATGGGTCTGCATGATCAATTATGCAGTGACCCATATTCAATTATGTGTTAATTTTTATGTTATGGAGCTATGCAACGCAGGAAGGGGATTGTTACGTCAACTAATTTTTAAGTTAGATTTCAGGAATTTAAGGTTAGATTTAGGAGATTATAGGTTTGATTGCATAAATTTCAAATTAAATTTCAAAGTTTAAAAGTTTGATTTGAGAAATTTGTGGTAAGATATTCAAAATTAGAACTTAGATTTAGTACATCTTAATTTAAATTTGAAATATTTTGACTTGTATTTGAGAAATTGTGGTTACATACAAAAGATTAAAAAGTTAGATTTAATAAATTATAAGTTAGATTAGATAATTTTTAGGTTGATATGCAATATGAAGTTCATGTTAATTTTAAGTTTTTATTTGTTACATCCAAAAATGAAAAACAACATCCTGATAGTTAAAACATGAGAAATTATAAATAGTTAGTAATAATAATTACTTATAATCCAAATAATTGTCAAATTGGTGCTTAATTTAAATTTAATAATTAATATTTTTTTGGTATTTTATAAATTGTCTAGAACATTAAATTTTGAAATAAAAAAACCTAAGAGTTAACATTTTTGTAGTGATAATAATTAATTAAAATATAATTAATTGTCAAATTAGTACTTAGTTTATATTTAGGAATAAATTTTATTTTGGTATTTTATAAATTTATATAGTAGGACATCAATTTTAAAAATAAAAAAAGGTGAGAGGTAATTTTTTTTAGTAATAATAATCAATTAAAATATAATTAATTATCAAATTGATATGTAGTTTAGATTTATGAATAAATTTTATTTTGGTATTTTATAAATTATTTATATTAGGACATTAAGGAGAGGAGGGTATATTTTTTCTTAATAAAATTCATTTTAAGTTAAGGTATAATTTTTATTTAGAACATACAAAAATTAATACAATAATAATTTTTAATTAGAACTTTATTATTATCATTATCTATAATATAATATGATATGATTAATTAAAATAAAATATTTTTACATAAGTTAAATATTTCAGAGTTTTAAATTATATCTTTATCGTTGTCAAGAAAAATAAAAACAAGGGTCACAGAGTAGAATTATTGTAGTTTATTTACCATATTTTTTATTTTGGATGATTGTAATTATTAATTGGATAATTGAATATTTTATGACTATAATTTTATTAACTATGAATTTAGTTTTCCATTAGTTAAAATTTGGATGACTTTATATATGTTATATGCACGTTTTATTTTTATTTTTTTAAATTTAAATATTATATGTTATGTTAAATCAAATTTTCACATATTTAATACAAATTATAATTTTCAATTTACCTAATAAACCCTAACAATTTAATTGTTGTATTTAATGTAAAATAAAAAATTAGAAAAAATATACAACAAACTATAAATTATTATTAAGGTAATACAATATTCATTCAAAATATAAAAAAGTTTAGATATAATTTCTTTATATTCACTCTTATCAATTATATCATCTACCATAAATCTACTTTATTTTCTTTATCCAAACAATCTCACAATTCACTATCAATCATCTCAAATACAACGGAATGCGGTGTTTAAATAGATAATGTTATATATGAATAATTTTTAAGTATTTATTAATTAATATTTTTATTAAATAAATTAAAAAAATATATTATATTTATATGTTAAAATAAATAATTATAATTAATGTTTTAAATTTAATAGTTTTTTTATAATTTAAATTATAATATTAAAATACATTTATATATTTTAATAATATAATAAAAAAATAATATTTTTAATTATAAATATTTTATTTTAATATATAAATATTTTTTAAAATAAATTAGTGGGTCAATTTGTCTCATCCCTTCCCACTCGTTGATCTGCCGATTGGCGGATTAGACGAAACAGACAAAATCAATAACTTATCTTATCTTTAATTAGATATTCACTAAACTTAACTCATTTTATTATCTATAATTGATTTGGAAACTTTGATATCATCCACGTATATCAATGTGAAAACAATAGAAGGAGTAATTTAAATGAAGAGAGTGGTGTAACTCTGGTATAAAAAAAAACTAATTGAATAAAATAATTATTATTCTCTTTTTGAAACTAAGACCTAAGTGTCTCCTTAAGGTCATATATAATAGTGTGCCATTCACACACTTTCTTTTCAGTTGAGTTGAATTCTGGACTTTGATTCATATAAACCTGCATGAATTGATAGAGTTATTATATATGGATTGAGTTTGGTATAATTGACTCTCGTCACATTACCACATTCAATTAAAAAATCTTGGATTTGGTTTTTATATTTTTTTATTAAATCCAATATAATCTAACTCATTCTTAATAGGATTGGATTGAGTGACTGGATTATAGACTTTTAAATTTTTTTTTATTAAAGTTGTTAGTCTTCTTTTTAGATTTTCATAACATTTAAAAAAAATAAACTATATTAATTAATGTTTGAATAATTTAATATTTAATAATATATATATATATATATATATATATATATTCAGTTAATAGAATAAATTAAATAATAATCATATTACTGTTTATACTATTAATGTTAATAATAATTTTGTTAATGTATACCATTTTAATATTTGTGGTTGTAAATAAATTACTTTCTTAAAAATAATAAAATTAACCACTGATGTGTTATTTTACTATTCATTTAAATGAATTTGAAGATAAATTTACACTTGTGATGAAATAAGTTTTAAAAAATAAAAGTTTAATGGGTTAGTATTTTAATATTTTACAATGACTTGAGAATTTAGTATATATATAAACATCATCAATAGAACAAGTTGTTTTTTACTTTAAAAAATATAAAAGAGATTTATGATATTATATTATTTTTAAGCAACTGTGTTAATTTTATTTTATTAAAAGTTTTTTTAAATAAATTTTTAAAAAATTATTCCTTTTTTATTTATTTTGATTTGTTCATTTTTGTAAGTTGAATAATAAAATAACTAAACAAAATTAAGTAACTTATTATTTCACATAAAATTCTTCTCATAGTTACTTCAAGTAACTACTATTTTATTTAAATATATCTATAAGAAACTTCTAAGTCTGGAAAGGGAAATATTTTAATTTTTAAGCATGATAACGAGTAAAAAATGTCAAGAAGGATAGTTCTGACTATTTTTTTCACTTTTATAATTAAAAATAAAATTAATGATCAATTTTATATATTAATTTTTCGTTATTTGGATGTATAAATAATGTGATTATTTGATAGTGAATAAACTTTCCTTGTAATTCTACTGATTCTGGGCTTCGGTCCATATGAATATATATGACATTGGAGTTTTGGTTTAAATGGAAACCATGATTATAAAATTTTGACAATGAAACAAGTTTTCTGTTTTTTTCTTTTTCTTTTTCTTTTTTTGGCTTCAGTCCCTCTTCTCAGTTTCCACCATGCAATTCCTACTTTTCATGTAAATTGAAAAACGCTCAACCCTTAATTGATTTTAGTTAAAAAATTATGTGGGAATCTAGATCCTATTTTGCTTTTAGCCTTTTGAAAGCATATATAGAAAAAAATTTAACAAATAAGAACATTATATTATTATTTTTCCTATATATACATATAACATTATATGTAGTTACTTCAATAGTATCCAACTTTTGTGTTTTTTACCTTATAACAAATCTGAGATGTTGTGTTTTTCCTCTTCATATTTTGATATTGTATTTCTCTGCAATGATCCAAACCGATAGATTTAAGTACTAGAAGGAACAATGGGCATATTTTCTGATTAAGTTGTTGGAGATGAATATGCTATTTGGAGAAGTTGGGGGTTGACAAAAAGAATGAGACCTGTCTCAATGGATGGAAGAAGGAAATAAACACTAAACAAAACAGAATGATACGAACATTGCCGAGAGAGACACAGTCAGAGGTTGCAAATTTCATTACTTAGCATCAAATTTCCATGAGCCATAGAGCAGATGAGTTTGAGAAGTATTTCTACGAATTTCAATATTTCATAACAAATTTCTTAGTTTCTAAAAATAAAAATAACTCATGCACAAAGCAGACAAAATTGGGAATGAGTAAATAACCCTTCAAGTAGAAATAGAAGAAACAATGAAGTAATTTTTAATTATATACGAGTAAGGAATACATGATCACCACATTTAAACAAACTTTACAGCCATAAGAGTATCACAATGCAAACAGTCTAGAGAGACATTAATCTTGATGTACAAATGAACCCCCACAGGGTTGTTCCCTCCCCACCAAACCTTCCTTGGCTTGGCCCGTTTGATGCATTTCATTCCAGAAATTTCCAAGCAGCAAAGGTTTTATCCAATTCCAAAACCAAATAAACAAAACAGCAAATTACAGTAAGAGACTAGACATTGTCAAGGAAATTGCCCAATCCCAGACTTGAAACAAAATAATTTATGAAGCAAATGAACAAAATAACCCGGTATGAAAGAATGAAGTCCCCCCACCCACCCCCGAATTAAGTTGCACAGTTGTAATGATGATGAATATATATATAACAGTAACACCCTTATTATTGTTGTTCACCTTGACATTCTCTCATGAACATGAATGGTAATTTAGGAACTGTTCCTTGAAGTCACTCTGCGATGGGCTTGGTCTTGGACCTGTAGAGGAGTTTCTTCTTCTTGGATGTTTGGTTATCTACGGTGAGTACAACCTTGCCAGGTTCACCAGTTTTGAAACCGTTATTGATTACGGTCTCATCAGCGGGAGCAATTTTCCTGTTCTTCTGCACAATGACAGTGTATCCATCCTCAGCGCTGGGCACAAACTCAGCTCCGTAGCTCACATCCCAACCTACCACTCGGATTTCCCAAACTAGATGGCTTTTCTGTAGGTTCAGTAACATTTACCTGTCAGTACCCTATTCTCTTCCTATATAAGAAAGGAAAAAGAGATTGATTGGTCACCTCAGAAACTGGGAACTCAACAGCATGTTTGGATGCGGGTTTAATTGTGACCTCTGTAGCAGGATCAGCAGTGGTGAATTCCTGTTCCCCCTCTCTGCTCAGTCCACCATATTGAAGAGGAACCAGCTCCGGAGCAATGTATCTGTTCATCAAATAATCTCAATAAGACCTATCTTATTATTTTAATACATGGATGATAGAGAGAGAGAAATGATTTTACTTGAAAAGGGTTTCGGCAGACTTGGATGGCCCAGCAAACACAAATTTGCTCTTGGTCCTCTGTGTGAAGAAAGGACTGATCATCCTAGAAAAGGCAAGGTACCACCATGGAACATTGATAAATATCTGCACAACAAAACAAATCCAATAAAAACATGTATGAGTATTATGATTGATTGGAATGAATGAATGAACGATTTAAGGTAGGTAGGTGGGTAGGTACCTGCTTGGCTACAAACTCGGGGTAGTTATCCTGAAGCAATTGAAGGGCCTGATTGGTGGCTTGCCTGAGTTCCCTCTTGCCGAGTCCAGGAGAGTTCTTGAGGTCGTTGACCTGCACAATGGTGGAGATGGCGGTGGGAGAGAAGTCAAGGCTTCGCACGCTCTTCTCCAGAACCTGAATCCTCCACCTGATGAACTTGTTCCGCTTCTCCTCGTCCGAAAAGGTCTTGTTGTACAACTCCTTATTCTCAAACTCACCAAACACGTTGTAGCACACGGGGTGCCCTTGTTTGTCGTGTCCGTCGGTGAACACCACCTTGTCCCAATCGCTTCCAAGATCTTCCAGGACAAGAGCGTCGATTCCGAATTCCTTCCGCCAACGCACGGTGTTCCTCAGCATGCTGAAGGCTTCCTTCACCTTGAAATCCCTCGCTCTCAGAAACTTCAGCAGAATCACATCGCTCCTCTCATCCGCCAGCAGCGGAATTCCCCATATCTCAACTTCCTCCGGCCCAACTTCCTTAACCGCCACCGTCTCTTCCGCCTCCTTCTTCTCTTCTGTAACCTCAACCTCCTTCTTCTCTTCTGTAACCTCAACCTCCTTCTTCTCTTCTATAACCTCAACCTCCTTCTTCTCTTCTGTAACCTCAACTTCCTTCTTCTCTTCTGTAACCTCAACTTCCTTCTTCTCTTCTGTCACTTCAACTTCCTTCTTCTCTTCTGTCACTTCAACGTCCTTATTCTCTTCTATCACTTCTACATCCTTCTTCTCTTCTTTAACTTCGACTTCCTTCTTCTCTTCTTTAACTTCGACTTCCTTCTTCTCTTCTTTAACTTCGACTTCCTTCTTCTCCGCTTCTTCGGCAGCCACTTCAGGTTCCTTCTTCTCTGCCTCTCCTGCTGCGACTTCTGGCTCCTTGACGATGTCTGGTTTCTTCTTCTCTGGTTCGGGTGGTGGGGGTTTGGGAGCAGTTAGGTCATGGTTGTTAAGCGATTCTTGAACAAGCTTCTTGAGCTCATCAAGGGCTTTCTTCTGAGCCTCGGGGAGGTCGCCAACCACGTTGGTCTCCTCCTTGAACGAAACCGATTCGGAAATCTTGTCTTCGACAGCGCTGGGGGCCTTCTCTGCTTCCCCCACCACTTCTTCGATGACTACTCCTGCCTTGTCTTCGGGTTCAGCTTCGGTGGCCGGTGGTTTCACTTCAGATTCGGCTTGAGGTTGGGTAGTTGGCGGGTCGTGGAGAGGAACGGGGTCGACGAGGGGAGAGAGTTCCTGGGCAGGGGGAGGTGGATTTTGGGGTTCTTGGGCCATGGTGATTGGATTGGATTGGATGGTGGAAGTAGAAAGATTGAAAGTATGAACAAAAAGAGAAGAGTGAGAGAGGAAGGGGTTGTTGAAGTTGCAAGGAAAGTGAAGATTAGGGGAAGAGAGAAAGAGAAAGTGATTGGCAAATGGTAACGGTTGTTGTTGTTGTGTTATGTTGTTATTTGTTATGCTGTGTGTTGCGTTGTGTTATGCTCCAAACCATACCAGTCTGTCATGCCAGCAGATACACCACTTTCCTTCTCGTTTCGTGGGTCCCCTCTTCCCCTTAATCATTCTTTTTTATCTTCTTCTTCCCTCTTTTTTCTTTCCAACTTTTTAAATCATTCTTCATTTCAAATATCAAACCAATCCCTGTCTTTTCATCCTTAAATAAATCCTACAATTACCCCAACCATGACACCCAATCCATACACTAAACTTACCCAAGAATAATGCTAGTGCCAATCACTCACAACTTCATTTTCAAAATAATAATCATAATATCCACGTCCACATGAACGTTCCTTTGTCTCCTTCCACAAGTAACATTGCTTCCAACGTTATCAATATTCAATGCCGTGTTCTTATTACCATCGTTTCGAAACTCAATATCAATCCAATTTTAAATTCTCGAAAGCTACAATCCTCTCTCTTTACATTTTAAAATACCACTCGCCACCAACCACTATTTCTTTCTTCTTTTTCAAATCCTTCGTACTTTTAATTTCCAGCTGCATTAATCAAACTAAACTAAGCACTTGTTGAATTGAAGGATAATGTGGAATAGCCATCAAATGAATGTTGGTGACTGAATTCGAAAGTTGAGAAGCCATGTTAAAGGTAAAGTTGCAGAGAACATTCCAATTCCAATATCAACAGTAATTTGTTCACATTATTAAAACATATTACTATCTCTATGATTTAGGGAATATTTAATACGATAAAGCATATTAGAATGAATGACTGAGTTGATGAGAATAAAGTGTTAACCATGGTGGCATCCAAGATTAATAGGATATGATATGGTAAAACGGGTTTCTTCTATCATCCTTGATTAGCTTCAAAAATATAAGACTGGTCGGATTGATCACTTAAAAAAATATTTATGTATTAGAATATATAAGTATATTATAATATTATAATTTAAATTATAAATATTAATTAATTAAATTTAAATTATTGATTATAATTTAATATTTAATATATATATATATAGTAATTTTTTAATTTATTTAATAAACATTTAATTAATAAATAAAAAAACTTAAAAAATATTCAATTTAAGAAAATTCATAGAACAAATTTTAATAAAAAAAATATAAGCAAATTGATAACTAATCCATCTTTTAATATAGATGACACGAATCAAAAGAATAACTACTTCATAAAACAAGGAAAACCTAAATTTCTCTCGTCTCTCTTTTCATCAATTCGATTTAAGAGTGAGGAGTGCAATCGATACTTTTCAATACACTAAAGTTCTCCTTTAACTCTCCTTTTTTTTTTTTTTTAACTTTTACTGGAAATTACTTTGTATTCGGGGCATCGTAATTTTCTAAATTGACAAAGATTATAAGTTTTTAGGAGAAAAAGTAATTTGGTAAACTTTTCAAGGAGCTAGAGATATCTTTGTTCTTTTTAGAAAAATACCAGCTATGATGATGGAATAAACTATATTGTAATGTATAGTATGATTTAATTGTTTCACGTATATCCAGTTAATTTACTGAACAAAATGCTTTTCTGTCTTTACATAAACAAATAAATGATTCTTTATTGGTAGACACAACAATAATAGTTTACCCACCCAATATCTTTATTCAAAAGTCAATTCTTTTTTTTATTGTTCATGTCTTTTATTTTGTTTATAAATTCTATGTTAGTGCAATGTCTTTTATTTTATTGAAAAGTAATATTTGTTATAACCTTTAACTAAATAAAATAAATAATATTATTTTCATGAATTATTTGTTTTAATACCTCTTTCTGCTTTGCTGTCTCCTTCTTCTTCTTCCAATAGTTTTAAGACAAAACCTAAAACTTGAAGACATGATTTTCATATATTAAATAAAAACAGAGTTTACGTGCCAAACACTAATTGATGACAAAACCAATTCATATTTTCTTCATATATTTTTTTATTTCAATGGATAACTCTCAAACTAGTCATCAAATGAAATCATTGTTATTTTAATAAAATAAAATCTCACATTTCCAACTTTCTTTTCTCTCATTTTCAATATCATATGAACTTGTTTCCCTTTTCATCTTCATTCACCATTTGCTTCTGCAAACCGCTACTCTGACTTTTCTTTTTCTCTCAAATCACTTTCATTTTTTGTTTCCTTAATTTTACCCTCACCATCAATTGATATAACATTTTAATCATATCATTTACTCAACATGAAAACCATTTGTTTTAATTGCAATTTTCATTATATTTTTTATTATTATTTTAGTTTCAATATTTGGTCATTAACAGAAGTGGATAAAAAATTTAAATTATAGAGAATAAAAACTATGCCTTTGTCTTGAAATTATATTAAATAGTTATACAAACAGTTATAAAAATTTAAACAATATAAGTTATTTTTAGTAAACTAAGCAAATAGTTTAATAGCTATTTTGCCTCCAATCTCTATTTTACAAAAATGGAAGATTTAGTTACCATTAGAAATAAACTTTGTATACTTTTATCCATAAATTATTTAGTAATACTCAAAAAAATTGAATTATATAGATCTAATTTCAAAAACTTATGCTTGATAATTTTAGAATTGGATTTTTCTTATATGATAAAAATTATGATAATATGTTATATATACCATAAATCATTCATCGAAGGGTATAAAGGAGTCTTTTAATTAAAAAAAATAAAGTTTTTATTGAAATATTATATTAATGAAACGATTGATTCTTTAATTTTTTAGATCCTGAAACAAAATCGTCAAATCTTCATTTTTTTTCTGATATAAAAAATTATCAAATTTTGATAGATGACGAGTTATTAAAAATAATAATTATGTACGTAAAGTTATATTAAAATAATTATATATATATATATATATATATTATTTTATATTTTTTAATTAGCTAATTCTCCTATTTTAACAAAATTTTCAAGAATGAATTAACTTAAAATTTTAGTCAACTCCAATTTTTTTTAAGTTTATTAGTTTAAACTATTTTTAAATTAGTTTTTACAAAGCACACTTTCAAGTTAAAGAATTTGTGGTGATTTAAACATAAGTGTACAACTTCATATTTTAAAGAATTTCTTAATGTCATTTAAACATAAATGTACAATATTTGGATGAGATAAAATAATCATAATTTCTTTGGTGCAAACATCAAAATTAGAACCTTAACCACTTTATATCATAATGTCTCCTTTTTCTTATAAGGATAAATAAAAATATATTTTATTTTTAAATGATAAAGGCTAAACAAATGTTTTAATAAAAAAAATACAAAAGTACAAATAATTTAATTCAAATAAAAATGATAATTTGACTAAGCATAGTAACACAATACGTAACACATCTCATTTTATTAAATAATAATTTTTACATTTAAATCATAATAAAAAGATAAAATATGTTTTATAGGTTAATTCCAATATAACATCACACACAGATAAGAAAATAAATAATAAAGAAAAACAATCCAAGAGCAACAAGTAATATTAATATATGTAATACCTCAACAACTATATATTTTATGAACGAATATATACATATAGAATAATGTACAAGAAAAGTTTTAAAAGAAACAAAATTAACTAATATTTACTAACACTTCTCCTCAAGTTAAAAATATATATCAACAACACCAATTTACTCTCTACGAATTTTGAATCTTTCAAACTTCAAAGCTTTTGTCAAAATGTCGTAAGTTGTATCTCGGACCTACAATGTTCAACCTCCAGCTTTTCATTTGAAACTTGCTCACGGATGAGAGATTGGATGTTTGACAAGATTTATTGCAGATTTATTATCAATCAACATTTTCAATTTACATGCTTGATTCCTTCATCAGTGAACTCAGTCAAATTACTTGACCAGCTGCTTCAGAGACAACTATATACTTAGTCTCACAGGATGAGAGAGTCACTACTGATTCTTTTGTAAAGCTCCAAGAAATTGGTATCTGTCGCCGCCGTCCCTTTCGACGTCCGGAGGACGTCTCGAAACGTTTATGCGAGCGGTCGCGAAAAGATGGTTTAGACTCGCGTATTTAAAATGTATAGGTTTTCGAAAAGGGGTTCTTATGGAGTCGCCACCAATATTTTGACCAGAAACATTGGAAAAGGAAAAAAGAAAAGAAAGGCGTTGATTTTATTTAAGAAAAACCAACTTGGCCGTTATAACCAGAGTTGGGTAAGGGAGTTAGTTAAGTGTGGGGAAGGTGTTAGCACCCCACAACGCCCCTTTCAGGTTCCCTATGACGGATTAATTCATTAAGTGAAGATTATAAGAAATTACGCGATTACCCTATTTTATTGCATAATATTGAAATGACTATCTACATGATTTTATATAAATAAAGCTAAATAAAGCAATAAAAGAGATATTAAAATGGCTATCTACATGATTTTATACTATATGACGTAATAAAATAAAAATAAAACAGTAAATAAAGCAATAAAAGAGAAGGGAATTGAAAAGAACCTCCGTAGCAAGCTTTATATTGAGAATCTCGAACTGTGAGGATGCGTTTTGGCAACCCCTCTCACTATACAGACTCTCCTCACCAATACAAGATCGACTCCACTAAAAATTTAAAGAAGAATCGAATGCCGGAATATAATTCCTTAACCGATTGTTACCTATTTAAGGCAATCGGAAAGATCATTCTAGAGAGGGAGAGAAGTAGACAAGTGCTCTGAGTTTTAGAAAGTGTTTCAGAGCTCTCTGGGATGTCTGTGGTGTGAAAAAGTGGCAAATGAGCCTCCTATTTATAGTTTTTCGCAGCTGGCGCACTTTGGGACGGCCGTCTGGGTTGGG